AATAATTATTATTTTTATTATTATAATAATAATTAATATATATATTTTTAAAATTATATTTTATATTTATTAATGTAATTATATAATTATTTTAAAAATTTTTTTTTTAATATAATTATTATATTTATTATTATAAGGTTTATATATTTTATATATTTATAATATAATAATATTAATATTAAATAATTGTTAAATATTAAATTATTTTTATAATTTGGTAAATATGGAATTATTAAACAAAAGGTAGGGACTTTTGCAAAGTATAGCTTATTACTTTAATAACTTGATCTTTGTAAAAGGCTTTAAGCCGTTAATGATAACATTATACTTTAATTTATAAATACGAATTTAACTAATTAATAAACGAGGAACAAAAGGTAATAAAATAAAATCGATGTAAATTAAAGGTTAAAATAACTGTTAATTAAAAGATAATTTAAAATAAAAGTGTGTATGTGTTTTTAATTAAAAAAATGAAATGATTTTAAAACTTTTATATAATCCGTAAAATTAAAGTTACGTAATAAAATACTTTATAACTAAGTTTAATAACATTACACTTGTTCATTATATTATAAATAATTATATATTAATTTATTAAAAAAAATTTAAATTATATAATTTTTTAATATAAATATAAATTTTAATAAAAATAAAAAAATAATATTTTTATATTTTATTTTAATTATTTTAAAAATTAAAAATATATTTTTTTAAAAATTTTTATTTAATTAATATTTAAATAATAAATATAATAGCAGTAAATTAAATAATAATAAAAAGGTAAAAAGTTTAATAATTATTAATAAAAAAAGTATATTAAAATTTATATTAAAAAGTAGAAAATAAATAATAATATAAAAATAATTTTTATAATAGCTTTTTTATTTTAATTATTAATAAATTATAATTATTTTATTTTATATTTTATTTAATATAATTATTAATATAATATTTTTTATAAATTTTATAAATAATTTAAATATAAAAAAATCAATTATAAAAAAATTAACTATAATAATATTTAACGTAAATTTTAAAACCATATTTAATTATAAATAAAAAAAAATTTATTATTTAATTAAAAATAAAATTAAAAATAGGAAAATTATTTTTATTAAATATTTATATATTTAAAAAAATAAAAAAATAAAATAAAATTAAAAAAGTTTAAAATAATAAATTATTATATATATATATATATATATATTATAAATTATTAAATAAATAAATAATAAATAAATTAATTAAATATAATTTAATTTTAAAATTATAAAAATTATATTAAATATAATTAGTTTATAATTTTTTAAAAATAATAAAATAATAATATAATAAAAATATTACTATTTTATTAAACTTTAAAATATTTATTAAATATAATTTAAAATTATTTTATATTTTAATAAAAGAATTATTTATATTATTTATAAAAGATAAATTATATATATATTTAAAACTTTTTAATAATTAATAAATAATTAAATAATAAAATAATTAATATTAAAAATAAATATTTAAATTAAATAATTATAATTAACGCAATTTATTAATATAATAAAAATAATATAATTAAAAATTTATATAATTTCTTTAATATATTAAATAATAACTTATATATTTATTATATAACTTTAAATATAACTTTATTACATTAAAATCTTTTTTAAACATATCGTAATAAACTTAATAAATATAAAAATTAAAAAAATAACTACGTTATATTAAATATATTAATATTATATATTATTTATATAATATATTATAATTTAATATATTATACTATTAACAATATTACTATTATTTAAAAAACCAACTTTTTTTTTAAACTTTATAATAAATAAATTTATTATAATATTATTATTTTAACTGCCGTTATTTTTTAAATTATCTTTTTTTTTAAACTTAATAATTAATAAATTTAATATAAAGCTATTATTTTAATTGTTATTATTAAAAGTAATAAAAAATTATAAAAAAAATAAAATAAACACGTTATTAAAATTTTTAAATTATTAACGTTTTTAATTAATACGTTTATTATTATTATTAAAAAATATAAATTAATTATTTATTAAATAATATTTATAAAAATTTTTATTAATTATTTTATTTTTATTTTTTTTTATTATATTTAAAAAATATAATTTAATTACCTATTAAATAATACCTATAAAAACCTTTATAAATTATTTTATTATTTTTATCGTTTTTATTATTTTTATTATTTTTACTATTTTTACTATTTTTATTATTTTTACTATTTTCGTTATTTTTACTATTTTTATTATTTTTGTTATTTTTATTATTTTTACTATTTTTATTATTTTTAAAATATATTATTTAATTGTTAATAAAATAATATTTAATAAAATTTTTATAAATTTAAAATAAAAACTATTTTTTAAAAAATAAACTTAAATTTAATTAACCGGAATTAAAAAATAAACGCAAAAAAATCTTATTTAAAAATACAGCATTTTTTATATAAATATCGAAAATTTTTATAATATTTATAAAAAATAAAAATTTATAATAATATTTTTTAAATATATAAAATATAATAATATTTTTATTAAAAATAAACCAAATAAAATAAATAAATAAAAATTTTTAATAAATATTATATAATTTTTAATATTTAATATTATAATATTACTTTTTTATTTCCATATAATTATTAACGCATATTTTAAATATATAATTAATTAAATAATATATACTTTTATATTATTTAAAAAATAAAATAATTTTTATTTTATTATTTTATAAATAATATATATCTTTATAAAACGCTATTAAATTTATTAAAAAATTAATATTTAAAACGTTATATTTACTTATATAATTTACTTTAAACCAATTACTTTTAAAACTAAAAATTATATAAATATATTTTATTATAGTTTAATATTATATCTTAAAAATTATTATTTTATTTTACGTTAAAATCTACAATAAATATAAATATTTCTTTCTAAAAAAAAGATATATTATTATAAAAAAATATTTAATATTTAAAATTTAACATAAATAAATAATATATTAAATAATTAATTAATATTTAAAAAAAAATATATTAATTTACCGTTTTTTTTAATATTATAAAAAAAATAAAATAATTTAATAAAATAATTATTATTAAAACAAACAACAGTTTTTTTTTTATTAAATTTTTTATAAATTAATAAATAAATATAATTAAACGTTTTATTATTTTATTAAATAATATTTTTTGGTTTATTTTTTATTTTAATAAATTAAATATTATTAATTATAATATAATAAATATAAATAATTAAATTATAATTTATATTTTTATTATAATAAGTAAATTTTAATAATAAATTATATATATAATTAAAATAATTAATAAAAAAATAATACTTTTAACTTACGTTATAATTTTAAAAAAAGGTTAAAAAGATTATTTGGAAATAAATAAATATTATAAAATTAATATATTATAAACTATTATTACGCAAAATAAATAAATAAAAAAAAAAAAGGTAATAAAATATTAAAATAAAGTTTAAAATAAAATAATATATTAAATTAACATATTAAAATAATAACGCATTAAATTAATAATAATTAATTAAAATAATATTAACTATTTATATATAATATTATAATATTTTATTACTTTTTTATTTATTAATTTATTTATATTTATTTATATTTTGTAAAAAATTAAATATTATTATTATTATTTAAAATTAATTTAAATAATTAAAAAATATTATTATAAATAATAATATTATTTATTAACCAATTTAAATGTTGGAGTGACAAGGTTCTGTATGTATTACGTAATAAAGAAAGGGTAACTGAATTGTATTGCTTGATTGGTTTAAGTTGATTAGGTAAGGTAAAAGATTTACCAAGTGGGAGAATATCTATTTACATGTGTGTGGACCTTGCGTGGGCGGTGTGTGTTGGCACAACCCTAGTCACGTGGCATGGCACATGACTGGTATCCCAACATTAAATATTTAAATATTTATAATAACTTTTTTTAATTTTTTTTAAAAAAACTTTTAAAAAAAAAACCGGTTTTAAATTATTTCCGAAAAAATATAATAATATAACTTTTATTTAATAATATAAAATAATAAAATTTATTAATAATAATTTTTAAATTTACTATATATTATAATTTAAAATTAAAATAAATAATTTTTAATTTAAAAATAAAATTAATTAAAAACTTATTTTTTTTAATTTTATTTTTTTTAATTATATTATTAATTTTATTATAATTAAATATTATAATATATTTAATATTAATATAATTTTATATAAATTTTATATTATATATTAAATTTTATATAAAAAAAAAAATAAATAAAAAATAAAACTATTTTATAAAATAAATTATTATTTAATATAAAAAATATTAAATATACTTTAATTTTTTACTTAAACAATTAAATAGTTTAATTAATTAACATTTATTTCATAAATTAAAATATTAATCTTTAATTATTTTTATATTATTTATATATTTAAATTTTAATACATTTTTATTTACATTAACGAAAAAAAAATTTAAAAAAATTTTAAAATACCATTTTAAATATTAAAAATAATATAAAAAACTTAACCATTTAAATTTTAAATAAACAATATATTATAATTTATTTATATTTAAAAATATATAATATTATTAATAAAAAATAAAAAAACGTTTCGTTAATATATTTTAATTAAATAATTTTTAACCATTTATTGTTAAATTATATAATATTATTTTTTTTATTACTTTATTTTATTTTATTTTATTTATAAAAAAACAACGCTTTTTTTATAACTTTATATATATTATAATAATATATTTAATTAAAGCTATTTTAACTTTTAAAATTAATTTTCGGCTAAAATGCTAAACCATACCCCATATATACAAGTCGTATACCCAATCAAATCGCTTAAAAAATGATACACATGCCAAATATTACCTATTAAATTACTTTCCTATTTAAGCCATAGAAAAAATTCGATACAATAACCCCTCATAAACTCGGGCAATATTCTAGATATTAAGTGCCTCGGACTTGATATGCTGAATATCGGAAACGACCATGTATGTCTTGTAATAAAATGAACTAAAGTTTATGTACAAATAGCATTGCCCCTTATACAAGGGACTTGTGCTGAGATAGGGAAACAACGTCAGTAAAGATATGAAAACTTTCTTTTTATAAGGTACCCGACGTTTAACTGATCTTCTGTCAACTATACCATTGTTATTCGAAGATGAACCCATAAAAAGATAATACCTCTTATTTCCATATTTCTTGAGTGATGTCTCGCACAAATTGCAACTTTTCCCACATTATTTCCATCGTCATACCCAAACCGCCAGCCAAGCTGCTACTACTGAACCCACACTGTGGGCTAACGGCAAGGCATTCCAACGCCTCATCTTTACTTATCCCCTGTGCACTGGATATTATGGCAGCGGCGGCATAGACCTTCTCTTTAACAATGTTTGGATCCTCTAGCTCTGGTGTCTTCGTCGAAATAAGGCCCAATACTACGTTTTTGCCTTTAGGTAGGAACCTCAAAGGCTCGAAACCACCCGCCCGCTCGACATCGTCGAATTCCAGATAGTAGGTCTGATAATCTGTTTCGTTGAAGAGCTTGTACGCGATCTTCTCGTACGAACCCGAGACCCAATGTGTAGACCCAGACATGTTGCCTCGACACAGATGCATCCCTGCGTGTAGATCTGCCGGATTGTTCGCCAAGATATGGTTGTGAGTCCGAGTATACAAGTCAAGAAGCTCATCTGGATTGGTGCCATCTTTCTTGCACCCTTCAATGAACTGGGAGGAGCAGAAGTAGGTCAGATGTGGGTCATCTACCTGGATATTACGGAGACCGGCATCGTAGAGTGTGCGAAGCTCAGAGGAGTAGCATTTCGCGAGGTCGTTAAAGTACTCTTGGTCGGAAGTGTACCCCGATCCTTGAGTCCATGCTGTGCCTGGTTTAAGCTGAATGTGCTGATAGTTCGGCGCTGGAATAGTGAACTTGGCTTCATGCCATAGATGTTCAGGTAGATTGTCACGAAGCATGAGCCATTCTGAAAGGTAAGGTGAATCCTTATATCCGATTTTACCTGTGCAAATAACTGCGGCCCGGGTCTTCGCTCCCATCTTTGCAAGACCAGTAGTTGTTGGAAAGCCAGTTCTGAATGCATCTGGGATAGGAAGATTTGGCTTGGCTTCAAAGCCAGAGAGCTTTTCGAAAAAGCCGCCATAGTAGATGTGGCGAGCGTATTCCCCGTCTGTAATGGGTCGGACCCCCTTCTGCAACTGTAGTTGAACTACCTCGCGAATTGCTTGCGCCTCCGCATCTTTGACTGACTGTGGAATGTCAAGCGAATACATTTGGGAGGGCGATGAGAGCCCTGAGCGAGCCTCTAGAAGTGATTGAGGTCTTAGTAATGACCCTATATGGTCAGCTCTAAAAGGAGGCGCCATTTTGTTCTATCTTATTGAGCTGTGTTCTTCCACGTTTTGTCTGTGAAGTAGATATTGATCTTTGGATAGTATGAAGTGCTACGTGAGGGCACATTCTTTTTGATACCGCAGTATTTCAAGAACCCATGAACCGAAAATGATAGCCAATGGTAAATGATATATAATACTCCGCATTATTCTATTGATCTACCCCGATGCTATAGAACCATTTCTCCTCACTTCAGTGTTGGATACCTACTGGATTTAGCAAGGATTTAGGTTAAAGGAGTCTGCGGAATCCATAAAATGCCATAGTTTAGGTGGGGTTTAGACGAGCCATGTCACCTTATGCCTACCATTTATGGCATTACCTATAGTTAGTGGTAGTGATGAAATGTTACTTAGCAGGTCTCGGACTTGCAATAGCGACAATTATATGCTTTATTTGAAGATATCACATGTCGTTATAAGTAACAGCTATTGACTAGGCCACATCCCGATGTTAATCACACGGTTCAGCTATAAATTACCTACTTAAGATGTGTGATATAACAAGGCCTTTAGTTTATGGTAACTCCCTTATAATCTCTTTACTTAGGTATTCATACTCACAAAGGCTACAATGGTCTACTTAAATTAAAGATACTAAGTCTTTTGTTTTCGGATATACCATACGCTGTCGTAAAATGGTTCCTCCATCCACTCTATCTGGAAATTATCATGGTCGGCAAAAGGCTTCCTAGAACGAAAGCCGGGAATAGGAGTCTCTTCGTACTCTTTTAGCATCTCGTAAACACGGACAGAGTCAACGTCAGTGGCATATATTTTACGGCGTGGAGGCTCGTTCTCAAATAGTTCCCGGTTTGGAGGCGACCAACACATAGCGGCGGGTCGGGCAATATCTGCGATAATCTCCCGGAGAGGATAGTTAGGGTGGTGGCCCATGACGAGAGTATTCTCATCAACCATTGTGAAGCCACGGGCACCAAACCCGTCGATAATTTTGAACCCGTATGTGTCACTAAGGACGCTTTTGCATACAGTTGTGTAAGCAGGATCCTGAAGATAAACGGGTACATTATTCTCTTGGTTCGTACCTTTCCTTCCATTCAAAGCCCTGGCTACAGTCAACACTAGGGCGTGCTCCCTATGACTTTGGACGTCAAATATTCTCATTGGGCTTATTAACTCCACATCCCCAATTTGTCCCAAGCCAAATGCAATGATCTTATTGATATTGGTAGGTAATATTTTCTGTAATGTTTCGAAGAGGGTTTTACACATTGCAGTGGACTCCCAACTGTCTATTTCACTCGCCATGTTAATTTTCGCTTCGTCCGAGGACAGGTTTGGCCCACGAAACGGCCTTGTTGAAACTATAAGCGGCGTAAACCATTGTTCCCATCCTTTTGAGATGGCGAAGTTAAGCGCCCTTTCACCTTTGAAATCTATAAAATTTCGTGTTATCTGAGAGTGAGGTGGTGCTTCAACAAACCCCTGACCGGGCAGGGGGTTTAGTTTTCTAAAGTACGAACCACCGTGGCCTCTGTATTCAATAAACAGACCAGCTCTTTCTAGTTCTGCTTCTATCTTGTTGAGGTCCTCTTTTGTGTATATGGGTCGAATGGTTTGCCCGGAAGTTTTGTATGTTGTCATTGTGAGCGATTGGTATTTCCGAAATAATTCTAGGTATCAATAGTACTCTTGTCCTATTGTTTAATAGTCGTCTTAAACTTTCTAGATTGGGAATCTGAAGATGCAAGCTTTGAAAGGATATGGAGGCAAGGGTAAGAAACTTATTATATCACTTTACTAATAAGAGTTTGATTTTCATTGTAATAAAACCAAATTATTGAATTTTATAGTTGACGAACGAACATTGCGTTAAGAGGTAGGTAGAGAAAGAAAAATACAACAGGGAGCTCTCAAACATTTGCACAAAGCAATTGTGCAACGGTATGATAACAAACTAAACACAACATACGTGTATGTTACTAGATATAGGATATAGGTGTCTAATCTGGTTATTTGCTACCGCTTTCGCGGTCTGAAGTATCGCTGTCCGAGCTGATTTAATCTATTAACATAGTCATCTCAATATATTGACTGTGGCCGATGGCTTGGCTTAAGTATTCACAATGGAATGGGCGGGCTAGACGGAATACCTAGCGTATAGATGCGACTCATTTCAAAGAAGCATTATTGATTGTTCATCATGAGTTCTGATTGTCTCCTACTAGTACCAGTGTTTCATTGCATACCTATCATACCCTTTTCTGTCTGCCATAGCTACTTAATTATACATCGACAAGACAAGACTTTTCACCCTTCCCCCTAGAATTTCCCCAAAGGTAGTCTACTGCTAGGAATATCGTCAGTCTATTTGCTTGTCGCCGCCTTGGCCAAGTCGGCCAGGGCATCACGACGCTTGAATTTGGCATCCTGAATAACACCTACCGCAATATTGTCAGCTCATTTGCGACACAAACACAAACTAGAGTAGAACTGTCCAGATGAGTAGGAATTGATACGCACCTGCATCAGCATCGCTGGAGAAATTTCCAGTCCATTCTACAAAGGTGCTTCCCTCCAACTCGCCCGAAGTAACAGCGTAGCAGCGAATGGTAGAGAGGACGGAAGAGTAGGTCAGCTCAGGCTTGGCGGTGATGACACTGTAAGTAATGTAGTGATTGATAGTCTTATAATATGGTTAGAAGCTAGCCACGAGGTGGATGAAATGAACATACGCTGTGCTCCTCCTGCTTCACTTCGAGCTCGGTGCCATCTTTGAAGGTCCACTTCACAACATCGGTCTCATCACTAGTACCCTTAACATACTGACTCGACTTGAGGGCGGACCAGAAGTTGTGGAAATTCTGGACTAATGAGAAATTCAGTTAGATACCTGGTCGTGACTAACCGAAGTCAGATATTGAACTTACGCTTGATATGATGCCAGACGTGACTGAGAGGCGCCTTGATTACGGCGGACTCGACAACGGACGTGGAGGTTGGGATCGACATGATAACTGTTAGACTTGTGACTTTGACTTATTGTTTCTGGTTGGAAGATGGTGAATTACAATTCGGCAGAAATAATTCGAAGATGGAGATGTAAGATTGAAATTGGGGAAGCTATGGTGATTTAATTATTAATACATGTAACTTCCCCAGAAGCAGTGAAGCTTCAGTTTCGTTTGTACCTGCAGCAACAAACGGAGTCATAACGTCATTGAGTGAGGGGCACCTGTAAGGATTTAGGAGGTGAAGATGATGTGGGGCTCGTAGCACCCGTAGCTCTTGTAGCTAAGTGAGAATGTTTCGGGCATCTGCGTGCCTCTTACTTTCTCTTTACCTTAAGGTAAGGGTAATACTTAGGTGCATGTAGCTCTTCTATACTATTTTAGTTGGAAGAGTTGGAAGTGGCATCTCCTACTCAGCTAATATAGGGAAGTAGGTACCTGTATTTGATATTATATCTCTTAGATAAATCGCAATGCGTCGGAACAGATTAAGAAAGCTAGACCACCCCCACCCAGCTGGTCAGCTAAAACAACCCACTAATCTCCAAAATCACAGCGTACATCGTCCTAACTTGCAGGTCTTGATCAAACTCCAATCGCCCATATTGCATCATAAATCTAGAGGGATTATAGTAGATTCACGCTCTTCAGTCAAATTCAAGCACAGCGCCAGGTTCATACATATCAACATACTCACAGCCATCATATAAATCCGCCAGGGACCCTCCATCGAACATTCGACCATCTTAAACTCTTCATCCGGGCCAGGGCGCTCGAAGTCTTCTTCATCTTCCTGCACTATATCATCCGTCTCGTAAGTGTATCGTATAGTATCGGCTATAGCGGGAACCCGTAGTAAATGCTCCAGGTCTTCTTTGCACCAGTCGGCATATGACTCCGCTAGCTCGGGGGAGTAACATGTGCGCAGCCAGACAGGTGCATATCTCCCGAGATGAGTCTTTACAGACAGGTTTCTCTCACTGATTGTTTAGCGAGGGAACAAGACGCGCTCTATCTGGGCAGTCGTAGGTAGTATTTTATTCGAGTAGCTTAGCTCATGATATGGCTAGTATATGAGTGAGATGTGAAATCTAGCCAATACGTTCGTAAGATACATGCATGGCGTCCATGGGCATCTAATTTTAGCCACTCGCGTGCTCTTATTATCTAGCCCGTAATGCATATTGAGTAAAATGCCTACATGTCGAACACGAAAAACGACGCCGTAATCGCTAATTAGCAATTACGCCTTATATATTGTGCGACATTATACAGACAAAAATATCAAACGGGAGCTTGCCATACTCAGCTTCCTCCAACAACTTATCTGATTGCATCTCCAGAATTTCGCTACGGGGGATGGGGTTTAGGAGATTCGGTAAAACAGCGCTGTAGTTTTATGAGAGGTAGGAATTCCCACAGCAAACAAATCCTTGCTGACGGCAAATGGGATATATAAAGACGAAGTCGAATTTATTATCATTCGTTCCAACGTACCGTAATATATCGACTACCTCTCATTAGTACATATGCATATATAACGCGGAACAAAATACCATTTTATCCACTATAGCTCTATACCAGGACTATAATAATATTCTGCCGCCCGGGCTACCCCCGCCGTACCCCCTGAGATCCACGACGGGACCCTTCAGTCATAACTCCTCCCTATTTCTCGATGACGGCAATATGAACCCAGTTCCAGCGCAAAGCCAGAAGCGACCCCGTCTTGATAAAAACAGTCCCGAAGCAGCTTCGCTCTAGGCACTTTCCGGGTTGATCGAGAACGGGCACTGCACGAAGGCACTGACGAAAGGAATACCCGCTTGAACACATTGGTTTACCTCCGCCGAGTACGGTGTGCTATTGCATTCGGTATCCGTGTATAGTGTAACTTATTTATTATCTTAGTGATAAAAAGAGGGACCTATTAGACAGAAACTCATAACACACCTATGCAGTCAGGATAGATGTCGGTAGGTTTGTAGCTGAGGATGTCAGGGGTATTCCCGTGTCTATCGAGAGGTTGACAGCTCCCGCCGCTCCCGAATATAGGATCCACCCAAACAAAGCTCTCTTCGCCACAGTCAGGCCCCGAGAATATCTCGGCAACGGTGTTGTAGAAATCGGGATCGCCGGGTGAGCCCTCCGTAGCAGCGGCGGCGCATATGGCGAAAGCCAGGCCTTGGATGATCTTGAGGCTCATACTCGCAATAGTATGTGGATAGTTTTAGGGGGTTATGGATAGATATATCATTAACATATGAACATAGCATCCGCTCGCCTCTTTATAGCGCACAATGAATCCTATATACTAACAATCTGATATCAACTAGATATATATATTGTCCCTTTCGGTCCTTCGCTCTAAGATATGCTCTTACTACTCGGCACACGGCAAGATAAGCTTATTACACCACCGCGGAAGCGACAGGGATATTGATGGCCTCAACGTAACGAATCCCCACAGGATTTAAGAAAAGGCTCACGAGACCGCCTCAGATAGGCAGGTTAGATAGATAAAGTTATTGGGCCAAGATGACTACCCTTTATCTACAGTGCGGCTCTATAAGCCGTATATAAAAACCTTACCCCATGACGACAGCCAGCTACCTTACCCATCAGCGGGAATTAGCCGGCATGATTAACCGCCATGACTATCCAATGTGAAGCAGGCAGACTAGGGTTGCTAGAAGTTGCTTAATGACGAAATTTCGGCACGAGTCTTTCATTATTACGAATGTGAATGAAGAGTAAATAAAAAGGAATGGTCTGTTCTTATTTGGGGCGCGAGAGATGTGATTGTTAGGATGAGATAGCATATTGGGGTCGATATGCTCAGAGATTGAGCTTATACAGCTCACTACCATAGAAAATGCGTTGCCCTCCATACAGTGCTACGTACAGAAACAGTTACTTTGATAGCTTATATTAACCTATGTGTCATTAGCTGCTTATACAAGGAGCCTCATGTTGTTCACAATAAACTACCTAAATGAAATAAATGTTAAACTTGAATAATAATGCCTTACGAACCTTGGTAGTTACCAAGGTACCTAGGTAAATACTTCTAATCAATCTATACTATGTACCTAATGTTATGCTGTTGTCTGGTGGTTACTAACTTCCTCATGTATTTATAACGTTTCTCGATAGGTTTCAGGGGTTTGCTGAGCTACGTGGTGGGTATAGAGTAAAATCAGTCAAAACGTAATACGGAAATAGTGAGAGTATAGCGCATTGAGAGTTACGAGTTAATTTAACTTATTATCCTTGTCATGTGTGTGCTCATAATTAACTCCCATATGACTTAGGGGGGATGGGTTGGTTCTTTACACGCAATAATATCGAAGCTCGCATGTGAACTGTTCTCGATTGGTAAAAATAGATAAAGAGGCATGTAAGTATATACAAATCCTCCGCAAGTATATACAAGAAGCGAATGTTCGCATATGCAAAAAGTTCAAACATGTTCAGGAGCGAAGGACGAAGAATGCAAAGAATATTCCCACCCGACCCAAGTTCTCAACCCAAACTCCTTCAGCCCCAGCCCCGTCCCCGTCCCCTGTTACCCTTCCGATTCGATGTTTATCAATTTATAATTTATTAAGTCGCGATGTAATGCGCGACGTACGCAACCTCCATCATGCTGCCGTACCCGTCCAGGGTGGCGCTGTTGGGCGCGCCGGGCTGTACAACACACACTTCGTTAGCAAGTTGACAATCCCGAATATTTCTAGCGACAAGAAGAGTGGATAAACTTACCCAGTCACCGCCGACAGCGACGTTGAGAATGAAGAACATGGCCGAGTTGGAAAGCGAGTTCCAGACGCCCTGGTTGTTGATGCTAGAGCCGGAGATCTGATGGAATTGCTGGCCGTCCATGTACCATGTAATCGTCTCGCCGGTCCAACTACTAGCGCGACGGTCCCATACGATACGCCAGTTGTGCCAGCTCTGGTCGGGGATGGAGATGGTACCGGCGATGCCGTTGGGCTCGTTGCATACACCGCCGGGGTACACGTCGCAGTGGACCGTGCCGTGGCCCGTCAGCTGTCCGTTGACCGTTTCCATAACGTCCAGCTCGCCGCACGTCGGCCACCCTACCCCATTATTGATCGAGTTACCCAGGAGCCAGAACGCGGGCCAGATGCCCTGCTTGTTCGCGATGTCGTTGTCGCCGAATCGTAGTTTCGCCTCGGCCATCGTCTGCGTGCCTGCTGGCGGCGTGAATGTATACTTGGACTCGATACGTGCCGAAGTCCATTGGCCACTGCTGTCCTTGCGCGGCACGATCTGTACGGTGGCACCACCGCTAAGTTGGAGGTTCTGTGAGGATGTCGTGTAGGTCTGCCATTCGTTGTTGACCTTGAGGCCCGTGATGATGTTCCAGTTGTTGCTGTTGACTGCAGACCCGGCCGCACCATCGAAGGTCTCTGCCCAGACCAGTCCAAAGCCTGCGTAACCGGGTGCGCCCTCGGCCGATACGGTTGATGCCGTTAAGGCCAGCACGGAAGTAAGTACTTTCACGAACATGTTGTTGTTGAGGTAACGATCACCTTATATAAGTAAAGTAGATCTAATGATGTTGTAGGAATATGTACACTTGTAGTAGAACTGAAATTGGTAAGAATGAGTGTAAGTCATAGACCAGCTGTATAGACTGCGGTATACTTAGGGTGATGATCGTCCTACATGGCTAGATGAAGGTAGATATCCTGTTATATATATGCCTAACATATAATACCTAGTTAATATAGAGCAATCGGGGAGGGGTAAGGGTAGAAGCTAGTGGCAAGGAACCGCACAAGCCGAGTCAAAGAATGAGAGGTCTAGCGCCAACCTGCGTGAAGAACTGAAGTTCTCGTGAGCTTGGAAAGGGAAGGTGACCAGGGTCTCGAGCGCCCATGGTATCATCACCAGAGCACGGATAGGAGGTAGAGAGCTATACACGCGTCTAGACCACAAGTATGGATCTGGAACGAACAACGGCGACGTGGAAGTAAAATTGCACTGACGGGGCCGGGATGGTACAACAGAACAGTCCGGGAGCGGTCGAGTTGCACGCTCGGGTTGCATTCTCGGACCCTAGGCCATACTATGCGATCTTAAAAAAGTAGCAGAAACAGTCGTCGGTAAGTAGCGGGCCACAAGTAGGTAAGTTTAAAGTTGAGGCGCGTGGCTTATTGGTAAGTCGACGTGACCCTTGGGGATTATGGGGGATGATTAAGGGGTATGAGGATCCAAGATCGGGGAGTATATTCGAACGTTTAGCATGGGATACACAAAAAGCTACTCGGTAACGCGGACGGACGTGATTGGACGCCGGGATGTGTCAAATATAAACGACATTCCAATGAAGGTTAAAAAGTCCGACATGATGGCGGCGCAAGGCCCCAAATCGCAGATGGCGCACACCAGATCGGTACCGGTTGCAGATCCCCCCAGACGGATGCCCCCCGCACGTTAAAGAGGTCAAACATTTGGAGGCGGGAACATATTATATTCTTATTATATTCTCATCCCGGCTGAGACTAAGTCATCAAGTACCGGGTCAGCTTCGACGATATTATGAGAATTAGGTGAAGGGGAAAATAGGCAGATGACGATTCCAAGGTTATTTTGTTTGATATAAACAACGTATATTAACCTGACTAACACGCCCTTCGATGGAATTTATTGACTTATCCTTACCGGAAAATCTTTGTGCTCCAAGCCCCCGTGGTTGAATGCACATGCGGTGCAATCTAGATTCTGTGTGGGTCGATTTTACCATGTCTTGGATCTCCAACGAAGCAGCTGATTGAATGATGCTTGGATTTGTACCTGCGCCGGACCGCGTGCTTAATTCAACAGGGGTCCTTAAACTTCAGATGAACTGTTTCCTACGAATAGGATGCGTAGGGTGTGATTGGAGGAGTATGTATATGCGCAAAGCCCAAGGCGACGGAGACTTTTTTTTTGTTTTTGCCTTGGGTATATTTTTATCTTAATCCGAAACGGGAAGCTCGTTGTCGCCGAAAAAGCGCCGGCCAGGAACTTGATAAAATGTTGCAAACCACCTTGAAGAATTCCGCGAGATTCTGGCGAAGGCCAAATTGAAGCTCTCCGGGAAAGCTTCTGATTCGGGCCACGAATTTGACTCCAACTCTCCTTACTGCATTACTTGTATGTTGGTCATACATATGTATAAGAGGTCAATATGCGGGTGATACCTGCATATGCTCGAGCCAGGTAACTAAACCACGTAACGTGTCGTTATTCGAATCCATCTTCAACGAGATGCGCTAGCTTGTGATGCGCCTGTCGCAGGACTACGCAGTGAGTACCTAATCTCCGGTTCCGCGCGAAGCTTGTTCTTACGCGTCGTTCACCCCTATCCCCGTTAGTAGTTCTATAGCCAAGCACTTTGCAAGCATAGAAAAGGGCTTATTAGTCTTTCTCTTAGCACCTTGGCTTCGTGAAATGGACTGGTCGTTTCGGCGAAACATGGCGTTGTATATGCACTGCACATGCCCAGTGCCGATGCATAGAGTCAAGTAGATGAGTGATGGAACCATGGCCTGCATATGTCTCCTAATGAAGGGCCCTGACATGAGAAGTAACCCATCGACGTCTTGCTAAAGCGACTAGAGCAAACACGAGTGTTAATGATACCTGTTAACCTTTATTGTATCATGAGAACCACGATAGGCACATAGTAAGGCCTGGGTAGCGATTAGGTTCTTCGTGGTCCATGGTGTAACGATACATCTAACGTTGCCTGTGTTAGGATTCTTTCGCGTAACTGGCGCTCTACCGCAATCGGCACGATGAAGATAGTTTCGAGACTGACAGTGCTTGTCAGGACCTTTTCGATCGTCGATAGTAACGATACCTAGGACCACGTAATGCCTGGAAATACAGTCCGGACAACCTTTCGGTGGTATGTTTTGAATGAAATTCTTTTTGCGCATTGCCACTATACAACCAAGAGTGGCCGAGAAGGAGATGCGCCTAGGAAAAAACATTAGTGAATTGTAACTTGAACCCGGTTGAAAGCTCCACGTCATGATAGGGATTTAGATTCTAAGAAGAATGTCCTTACCTACAGGGTCATTCATCATTAGTCCGTTTATCTGCGCCATTTTGTCTTCTAAGTGAAGCTGGGGACCATCTATCCATCTTCATGCTAGACTTTCCTAGATGTAACTGTAACAGTAGATAGCTAGATGCGATTCTCTTGGGCTTCGAACCCAAATTGTCGACTTTGTGTAGGGATATCAATTTACGACCACATTAAACTATAGAAAAGTGAAATTTAAAGAATAGTTGGAAAAACAGTTATGAAGAGCAGAAAAGATTATTTATGATTTTTATCAGTACCCTAGTTCGCCCAGTGTTCGTATTGCTAGAATACGGGGTCAGATGTCGATCTCGGCGCATCGTCGGGTTACTCTTAAGAATGGAATACGAGCTTCTGAAAATCCTTTCTTTTTTGGAAACATACGCGACGATACTTATTTCAATAATTATTCTGCCTTTTTTCTATGAATTATTAGACAGTCTAGATATCAGAATGTTTCAAATTAATCTCTAAATAGTCGAATGCCTCCATCGTTAATCGGCGCGCCGCCCATTTCCTCATCGGACGCCTCCTTATCGTCTTCGTCCTCGTTCAGCACTAGTTTTTGACCGAATAGAGTCCCGAAGAAGCGATCGATGGCGTTTTGCTCCCAGCTTCGGCGATCTTCCGGTGCCATGAAGTTCTGTAGTTTATCGTGGACGTTGAAACGCATCTTTCGGCCCTTGCTAGCCTTAGTATCCACATGCCGCTTCGCCTTCGCTTCCTTTACGGCGGCGAACCGGATCGTTGCTGCGGGGCCACCCGGGGCGCCGGACGTATCTCCGGAACGTTGGTCAACGAGTTCCTTTAATAGCAGCTGGTAGAAATCAGCATCATCGTAGATAGCCGGATCTTCATTAATTTTCTTTGCGATTTGTGCCGGAGCGCACGATCGTGGTGTCTGGGTCCGTTTGATGAGCCGCTCCGGTGCATCAAGCTCTTCGTCCAACCTCGTAGTTAGGGATTTCTCTGCCGTATTGGTAAATTTGCGCGACGACCTATCCATCATCCTTATATTTCGGGCGCTATGCGACCACTTCTCCAGAACCGCCCTGCGTCGAATAATCGCGCGCTGCTCAATAATCTCCATATTTTCCCACATGTCTTGACTAGACGTATCTGTATCGGCAACTCGCTTCCTTTTTTGGCCTGTCTTTCCTGACGGGTCGGACTGTATACTCGTGCGGAATCCATCAATTGTATTCCATAGCTTTAGCGCGGCTGCTTCAGCCGCTTCGTAGGGTTCTGATTGACCCCCTAGTTCCTCAATGGTACTGAATGAGTTGACTGCGACGAGTGACTTTTGTAGTCGTATACGGATGTTGAGAAGTGCATCAAAGGCCTTTCGCTGTTGTCGAACCGCCTTCCCTTTTGCAACATCTTTTTGAGCCGCTGTTGATAAAGTACTAGCCACATTGCGCTGGCCAGCATTCATCATCTCTTGAATTGTTGCACGGCTCGCCCCATTGGCCTGCGCTGCATCTTCAGGATCATCATCCTCTTCCTGCTCATCCAACTCTTCGTCGCTATCCTCCATCTCTTCGTCCACGTCGTCTTCGTCATCTTCGTCCTCATCCTCTTCCGCCTCGTCATCTATGAAGCCGCCAATTCCTTCTTCATCAGAAGCATCTTCGTCGCTATCGATATCCTCAGAGTCTTCCCTATGAAGTTCTGCCCCATCGCTGTCGTCATCTTCCTCGTCAGATACCATGTAGTCCGCAGCAGTAGGTCTTGCAACTCTCTTGCCTTTCTTTGGCATAGCCTGAGAGCTTCCCCTAAACACAAAATCTTTGAATTTCTGTTCGTCGGACTCGTCGAAGGCGTTATCGCTGTCGATCTCCGCATCGTCTTGATCGCCTTGGTCGACTTCGAGATCGGCCGCGTCGGGATCATCAAAACCTTCCAATTCGTCGTCTTCATCACCTTCCTCGTCCTCTTCGCTCTCGTCGTCATCCTCTTCGTCACCGAGGGCTTCTCGACTCACGGGAGCACCCCGGTATTGGGGTCCTAGCGCGACAGGGTCTCTTCGACGAAGCTTGCTTTTGCTGCAAAACAATTTAGCTTATACCGAATAAGATTACCATTTTCACAAACTATCGTACCTTACAGCGACATAATGTTCTGTACCAGCGTTTTCATCTACGCTATCTTCGCTTCCACTGACATCGTCCTCGTCTGGGACTTCTACTTCGGGATCGAAGTCTGCATGAAGCGGCAAGTGTTAGCTTTATTTAATATGTGGTGACTGAATAAAACATGTATATCTCATACCTTTGACTGGTTGCTCTGTCCATTCGGCAAATTGCCGTGCGCGCCCCTTTGCCTTGGACATTGCACTATTACCAACAATAGCTTGTCTAAATAGTGAATAAAAAAGGCGTTCATACGTCGGCCCCACGACTGCGACAAGAAAGTTCTGAAAATTTTAGCGGTGGAAGCTGGCAGTATCCATTTAGTGGGTTAGTGGGTTAGTGGGTTAGCGGGTCCGAGGATCCCCTAACACTCAACCAAGATCTTAGCAAATAGGGATTTAGGTAATCAATTCTAAGCTTCTGAGGTCACTTAAGGTACCTAATCTTATAAAATGCATCTAAAAAGAGTAAATGGTATGAAGAATTAGAAGTCACGTAATGCAAACCTCATTCTTTTTCAATGAGACTTATTCCTCACGCTAATTAATGAATAAACGGGTACATCATCAGTATAATTGATATTGTACCTCTTCACACAATGTGTGGCAGTTGTCTTATTTGAATTACTTGGTCGAGCACTTGGGATATAAAAATCAATTCATATAATGGCGACCATCCAACGCCGCTTTTTTCACCAAACCCTCCGCTATCTCAGCCATGAGAATCCCCTCGTGAGTTTTTCCTTTCTGTATAGTAGACAAGTACACTTATCATAAGTCTCAGGGTCTACCCCGAACGGGTTCAATCCCTCGCATGCAGCGCGGGCTCCCAGAGCGGCGCAATATCAAGGATGTCGCAAAAGTGGTCGCTGTATCATCTGCTAAGGGTGGTGTAGGCAAGAGCACCGTCGCCGGTTAGTCTTCGATGTCCTCTTAGCAGAGCTTAGCATCCACTGACTATCCTCGGCAGCGAATTTGTCTCTAGCTTTCGCAAGGATGGGTTACCGCTCCGGGATCCTTGACACCGATATCTTCGGGCCCTCTATACCTACGCTCTTCGACCTGAGCGGGGAGCCACGGTTATCATCTAGTATGTAGTTCTGGTCTCAAAACTCTCCGCAGTTCCTTTCACTAGTTTAGAGGAGCACTGACTTATGGAAATATAGATAACCAATTATTACCCATGTCTAATTACGGTGTCAAGACTATGTCTATGGGCTATCTAGTTGGTGAGGATGCGCCTGTCGTGTGGCGCGGCCTTATGGTAATGAAGGCCCTACAACAACTCCTTCACGAGGTTGACTGGGGTGGTCTGGACGTCCTAGTACTCGATCTACCACCCGGCACGGGAGATACGCAACTCAGTATTACACAGCAAATCATACTTGACGGTGAGCATATAAAGTTTCTATATAATACCTAGGAGCTCGAGATGTGCTAAGACTACATCTAGGCTCTATCATTGTAACCACGCCACATACTCTAGCAGTCAAGGACGCGGTAAAGGGGATCAACATGTTTAAAAAGGTGAATGTGCCCTTGCTCGGCTTGGTACAAAACATGTCACTATTTAATTGCCCACACTGCCACCACGATACGGCAATCTTCGGATCTAGCGAACGTGTTAAGGAAGTTTGCACAGAATATTCCATCGATCTACTCGGCGATATTCCATTGCATCAGAATGTTGGAGATGACGGCCAGAAGGGGAAGCCAACCGTGGTCTCGGAACCTGACAGTGAGAGAGCACAGGCCTTCATGGATATTGCTAGGCTAGTAGGGTCGAAGGTGGGCTTATAACACTGAATTACAGTATCTCAAGTTATTGTACCATGTGCCAACAAGCCACTTCGGCATAGCACACATCTACGACAAGCTCGAAGCGGTAAAATTCGGCTCCCATCTACATTGAGGTTGTTTTTGATATTAAGTCGCCCATATCTACATGTACTGCCGTCAAACGCACCAAGTATCAGGGAGTGGGCCGTTTCGGTTCCTGCCATTACGAAACTTTAGCAAATCAGTCCATAATTTAGTATTGGGGTCATTGCGATAGCAAGAAAAACTCTCCATATAAAGATTCGTATATTGATGCTCAAAGCTCGGTTACAGGAGCCGATGCGCTAAATAGAGCGTCTAGTCCAGGGGCTACGTTAGCATCCATAGAACCTAATTAGGGACAAAGGGGATCAAAGCCTGTAAAACCTCCATTCCCAATTCCGACTTTTCCAGACGAGACGTAAACCATGCAACATTCTACGTAATGATGGCCACCTGTAACTGATATTAGTCCAATTCCTCATTGGCTTGGTATATGTGGCGGCTCCTTGTAGGATCTTTCCGCATGGCCTGGCCCGAGCCGGTGAAACCGACTATAGAGAAAGTTAGCTCTCAGATCAATCTGACTATAATCGCAAACTGACCTCGTCCGTGTACACCTTCGGGCGTACGGAACATGCTGTCTTTCTTAGTTTTGTGCGCTTTAGCGAATTTCGACTTCGTGTTAAACTCTTGCCACTTGCTCTTGCCAGCCTCGAGCTCTTTGGTCGCCTTAATCTTTTTGGCTTTGGGCTTCCCATCACCAGCATTCTTCGACGCTTCCTCCCGATTCTTTTGGGCTAGGTCGGGATTTATGCTAGCGGCAGCGGATATGACTCCGGGGTTGGACGAGGTTGAAGGTGCTGCCGGCTGGGATGGGGCCGGGAACGGGCTGGCGCTGTTGACGGGAGTACCGTCAGCCTTTCTCTTCTGTGCAATAGGGCGTATGTCCTTCGCGCGTAGCTGCTCGGTGGTATCGTAGCTCTTGAACTTGACGACGTAGATCGGGGCTGTAGAAGAACCAGTGATGGACGTGATACGCGCGGGGTAGAATGCTTTGTCACCAGATACCCATTTCGCCATTACGGTATCATTGACCTTGTAGTTCACCAAACTCGTGTCGCCTTCCTTCTCCTCAGCCGGGGCGCTCTTTTTAAATGCTGGATGATTCTCTCGCGACCATTTCTCCTGGGTCGGTGGCGGGGATGGGTCTTTCGACTGCGGAGGTGCCTTGGTCGGCTTTAATTCAGCAAGGGTTTCGTTCAATAGCGCGAGCGCATCATCTAACTCAGACTTGAGAGCAAGGAGCTCTGCATTACTAGGATCATCTTTTAAACCAGCATAGACGACATCGAGCTGTTGATCTTGTCAGTTATATCTGCATGTGGAGTAGGCGACAGTCCACATTAGCCAACCCACCTGCTCTCGGTATTGCTTGATGTCTTCTTCGAGGCTGGCGATATCGGCCATTGCGACGGTACGGCTCGAATAACTCCGAACTTGAAAGGCGATAGAATATTAGAATTTCGCGGCAGAACAAGCCTTTGAACTTCTAAGATTAGATAAGAAAAAATAGAGGAATGACGTGAATTGTTTGTAATTAATAAGTAAATATGGTGGTTGATTTCTTAAGTTTGGACGATGGAAGAAGGTCTCCACATTGACAAACATGTCGGGGGAAAAGGCAAGTGAGGCTAAATGCTAATTAAGTAATCAAAGTGGGGGGCCATAGTTTCCGAACACGTGAATCCTTTGTTATAGTTACCCGGTATAACGATACCAATATATCAGGAATCAATTTAAGGGTGTATTGCTTTACCTGGTCTAAGAAACGAGGTTAGAACAGCATGCATTCAAAAGTCGAGGGCTTCAAGAAAGCATTAGAAATTCACAACTCTTCTATTATTTTATAATGTGATAAGTTTTTGTATGACTTACGTTCATAATCTCCAAATGCCTCCTTTCCCTTTTCCAGCTAAGAGTCGGGATAACGAACACGCGTGAATGTTGTGCAAATGTCAAAATCTAGGAAACAATGAACACATTGTATAAACCTGATAATAATAATAGCTATCAACCTATCCAACGCCATAGACCTATTACTCTACTACTTAATCATGCCTATTACTCTAGCCTTAATGGGCCCATGCAAAGTAATCAATCTGCATATGGTACCATAACGAACTACGATACCCCTAATTATCCAGGGCTATTTGAATTACTATAAAGATCATACATACATGATCATTCTTTCGATCCAAATCACTCTCTTCACCTCTATTCCTATCATTTACTTTGACTTAAAATACCAGTTACAATATCAGTTATACAATGGCGCCAATTATTGTGCTAATTACCGGTGCTAACAGAGGTATCGGGAAAGGTCTTCTTGAACTTTACCTTGCTAACCCTAATCATACCGTCATTGCTGCTAACCGTGACCCTGATCACCCAAGTTCTAAGGCCCTTTTGGAGCTTCCCAAGGCCGAAGGAACATCACTTGTTGTGATTAAGATTGATGCTACGGTTCGCACAGATCCACTGGATGCTGTGAAGGCACTCCATTCTCAAGGCATTGACCACATTGATATTATAATTGCAAATGCTGCCCTTGCACTCTCGTGGCCCAAGGTTCGGGATGTCGACACCGACGAGATTCAAAAGCACATAGTTCCCAATGTGTACGGCTTCCTATGGCTCTTCCAAGCCTTTCGTCCCCTGTTGAAAGACGCGGGTAATCCAATCTGGGTAACGATTGGCTCCAGCGCCGCATTTCTCACGGTAAGATCAAAATTAGTAACACTCATTTATAGACAAATCAATAGCTAACTTTTAATCTAGTGAGCACATTGTAGTCTTGTATCAGTATCATAATAGTTCTAATTCCATATGCAGGAACATGATCACAGCGCAGAATGCCTCTTATGCTCCAACAAAATCAATGGTTCATTGGTATACCAAGTCAATTCATATCCAAGAGCCATGGCTTACCGCGTTCCCCATCGACCCAGGGTAAGTTTACGTACATATACGAACAGCAGGAACATTGATCTCGGTTAACTTCTCTTGTAGATTCGTTCAGTCTGACATGGGTAATCGTGCTGCTCGGACTTTCGGATGGGAGAAAGCTACAATTACCGTAGAGGAGAGCACTACGGGAATTGTCAAGGTGGTTGACGTTGCAACTAGAGATACGCATAGCGGGAAAATGTGGCGGTATGATGGCAAAGAAGTGCCATGGTAAATTATCGTGTCAACTAGCACAATTTACAAAGCAATGTCTTGATCTTTTATGATAATGGCTAGAAGCGATAAAAATATATATTTGTGTACGAACATATTTCTTCCAGTTAAACCAGTTTTAATTTCTAAACGGAGAACTACACCGATTACTTCATGAACTAGAAAATTGTTGGTTAGATAATTAAGACTCGTGATGTTGTCCTTCAGATGTATTAAAAAGGCCTAAAGATCCTTATAACGATATTCCACTTCCGTCCAATCACACAAAGGAATTTCGCGGTCTCGTCGAGCGAATTACGCATTTAATTTACGTTAATATAATGGACCATTAATGCAATTGTGCCAAAATCAAAAAAATTAATTACATTATGTTTAATAAAATAATAATATTATTAAATGTATAATATAAGCTTAATTATTTACGTTATATATTTTTTATAAAATAATATATATATTTTTTTAACTTTATATTATAATAACTTAATTAATATTTATTTAATTTTTTTTAAATTTTTTTTAATATATAATTATAAAATAACGAAAATTTTAATTTAAATTATATATAATTTAATTTAATATTGGTAAAAATATTAAAAAAATTATGTAATTATATAAACATTATTATATAATTAATGTTTTTATAAATTTAAAAGATTAATTAATAAAATTAAATATTAATATTCGGGTTATTTTTTTTTTTTTATTTAAGTTATTTTTTTATTTATATATATAATATAAAATATATTTAAAAAAAAAGTTAAATATAATTTTACAAAAATAATAATTTAAACGTTATAATTAATATTATTATATAATTTTAATTAATGCGAAAATAATGATTTAAATTATATTTAAATTAACTTTTTAATTATTATATTATAATAAAATTAAATAACGTTTATTTAAAAAAATAAACATGTAATATTTTTTAAAAACATTTTAATAAAATTATTTTAAATAAACTTTAAATATTTTAATAATAATATAATATTTAATATATATTGTATAAATATATAATTTAATTTATTATTTTTACATTAATTATAATTATAAAATAATATTAATTATAACGTTTAAATTATTATTTTCGTAAAATTATTTAAATGTATTATATGTTATATATATAAAACAATTAAAGATTAAATTAATAATGTAAATCTTTAATTTAATTGGTTAATGTTAAAGATTAGTGGGGAAGATAACCCGGATATTATTATTTTGTATATAACGTATTATACATTTAACGTTGCTTATTATATTACTTTATTAAATATAGTGCAACCAATTTTCTTAATTTTGGCACAGTTGCACTAATGGTCCACCATAGCTAATGCAAGAGGGATTACCATGCAGTAGCGCGAAAGCTTATGCTGCATAAGATTGATGACAGCACGTGGTGCTTACCCTGCATTAGGTACTTTGTACTATAGGGGTCTGGCGCAACTGTCTAAGTGATCCACGCACTATTCAGACCATGGTACCATTGGATAATAACGATAATTTCCAAGGCTCATGATTATCATATTTATCTTTATTTTCAAGAGCATGTATGTAAAACCCGTTTAATCTACACGAGTTTATCTGTATGCTAGAATCTTTGAGTGAGGGTATAATTGTCTCTGAAACAACCCCTTATATGTTCTACATACGTTAAATTTAGATTGTAGTTCCTTGACTTTAACCATATGTGTCTTTTTAGGAAGGCCTTTAGTGTACGGTCCGAAACCGATCAACGCCCTGGAAGCTAACAACCTTTGCGGCGGCCCTGGGGACGCATGGGCCGTGATCGAGACAGCTGGCGCACAGCCTGCGGACCCAAATATCCTCCCTAGGTTTGTCGATATCACCTTTAATAACCCCGAGGTGACTACGTGGGGAAATCAGCAAAAGTACAACATTAATAACAAAGAAGCGGTACTATACGACATGAATTCTGGAGACACGTTTGCAACAACAGATAGGGCATCGGGCACAGGATTCCGGATCCACTCGACTAAGGAGTCTTGCTCTGCATGAGATCTATGTCTAGAGAGTAAATGAAGAGTGGCTTCTAGAGTTGCTCACGATGACTAAAGCTTCATACCAATTACACTACTAGAGTTCCTCCAATTTTAAGTATCGGTATGGTTTACATGTGGATATATATGACATTTCAATTCCAAAGTATTGAAGTTCGAAAGCACAATTTATCTTCTTTCATCGATTACAGACCTGAGTTCCAATTCACTCTTTTGGATTTCTTATGCCTGCTCAATTCCTGAATTGCCCCTGCGGAATGTATCTCCACTTGGAAAAATGTGCCGGTGTGTTTCCCTCGTAGCCGTTGCTAGTACAGTAAATTCCAAGGATGACACCTAAACACCATCAGTACCAAGCAGGAAAAAAAAGGATGATTTTCAGTCTTACCTGTAAACCCCCAGCTTACAGCAGCATTTGATACATCAAGGACAGTTCGCATCTCTGAAAGTGCATCAGCTGGTCCGGCTGACATGGAGTAATGGGTCATGTTGTGCGCTTTTATCTCCAATCTCAACTCCTTGCCGGACCAGGTCTCTGGTACTGGGATTATAACTTCGTCTGGCACTGGTATGTAGGAAATACCACGATACCTCAGGTGAGGTATTAGTCCCGATGAGTTCGTCGAATGAGTTAGGCCAGGAAATGTTGTAGTACTGCTATTCGCTGGAAGCATGACAATACCGAGGTCTAAATGATGGTTTTGTGTTAAGAAAACCGAGACACCTGCCTCTTCCTCAAGAGACGTCGGGGAGAAGTCAATATTGACGCTATATGTAAATAGTGTATCTTGTTGACGCCGCCCAACAAACGTCTGACCGTTAGGACCAGCGTAGTTCCCGTTAAGTGCCGTAAGATTTAACTTGGAGGGGTTCAATCGCAGAGTATTTGGATGATCCTGGGGTGATATAGTATATGAATCGGGAATAGGGAACCTCCAATGCGTGAAGTGTGCGGGCAGTATTGATTCCGGCTCGAAGTCAATGACATCCCCCTCCGTGATAATCGGACTATGATTGTTAAAGGTGAAATTCATAGTCAAAGGAACCGTACACTCACCCAGGTCCATCAATTCCAGTATTTCCCTCAGGAAGTGCCCATCCGCTCATCTCACCATTCAAATGAGACCAAACTGGAAACTCGTTGTCAGGCCAGGTGACTGGAACCATAATAGTTTCTCGACCCACTAGAACAACGACGGTCAATGATTACTTACTTCTTCTAAGGATACTTCCCGCCGGAGGCGAGTTAAAAGGGGGAAAGGAACTCTTGATGTGACATACTTGGATAGTAAATGTATTCGGGACCGGATCGAGTTGAAAGCGCAACGCCCCACCTTGAATCAACAGTAAGGCTCGAATTTTTTATTCTCTAGATATACTTGATATATTCGCTTACCAATTGCCAGCACCATCTTGGAATAGATCTGCGTGGCCAACAGTTTGAACTAAGGACGTTAGAAAATTAGAGATATTTTATATGCCTTAGGTCCCACTTACAATAGTTCGTCGTATTGGCATTCGTGAGCACTGGGTTCGAAGGGTTTACTTCGTAGGGCCCGTGTATGCTTTTGGATCTTGCCATTGTAACCATGTGATCTACACCCGTACCCCCTATTAAAACCATGGGATATCAGTATTCAATCCATCAGATGCGCTATATCCCCTAAATACAGACCTTCAGCAGCTAGTAAATAATACCACCCGTCTTTGAGGTATATGTGAGGACCCTCTGGTGCCTGGTCTTGTCATTAGGACCTGCTTTTAGGGCATTCTCTTTCAAAGGGACTGAACTTGCCGTGCCACCAGTGCCATTCCATATAATTTCCCATCGTCCCACTTCACCAGTCTCCAAGTTAGCCTCAGCTAAGAGAATACCAGGACTACCGTATATCGTGTTAGCTTTTCTTATATCCAGAAATTTTTCATACGTACAAGACTTTCCAGGCATGTCCACCAACGATGTACACTTTTCCGTCCGAGTCCCATACGGGTGAAGTATCGTAGCCTTCAAAGTCGAAATGGACGGCCTTTGACCATGTAGAAGGATCATACGGGTTTTCGGACTTGAATATTATCTATAATGATTTTAGCTACCGGCTTTAGGAACCTAAGAGTAAGTCATACGTTGTCCCATCTTGATGCATCTTCTGCGGCGCGGTCGTCGTCTACGAGAGTTGTTACCAGCCAAAATATACCCTCGTTGAACCTCAGAGTCGGCGCCCAGATGCCGCTGTGATAGGTTAGATTCAGGCTCTACCCGTCTATTCAGTCTCTTACCTTGTTGATCTGTTTGTTTCCGCTAGGCGAGGTAGTTGTTCTCGTCTGTTCAAGACGTGACCTGTAACAGTTATTTCGTCTAATTCATCAAAGCCTAGTAAATAGGTAGCTTACCAATAAGTTTCCAGTTTTGAAGATCTTTGCTTGCGTGTATGGGAATGCCAGGGAAAGCGTTAAAACTCGAAGATGCACAGAAGAATGTATCATCCCATTCGGGAACAAATATGCAACTCGGATCCGGGTGGAATCCCGGTAGGATGGGATTGTAGTACGTTGAATTATGTGCATGCAGCTGAGCTCCTAAAGAAAGTGAGGCAAGTGCACACATCACGACAGCTTTATACACGCGAGCCATCATCTCGCTGGTATTGGGTATATATGTAAACACTCTAGGTATACTCCAATTGGACGTACTATATGGACTGGCCTCACTCAGGAGGGTTTCACTATCCATAGATGAACATGATTAACATTCGGAGATACTTATTAGGTATGTTAGCATGATCCCCCGCATCTTCTACTCCAAGAAACACTCCCGGTTAAAATGAATGGGTAAACCCCAAAGCTTAGATTCAGGTAATATTCGGTAAGTAATGAGCCGAAATGACCCATTAGTGACTAGTATTAAATAGAACTTGCTAAAGACTTGGCAGGGATTGAAACTTGATATGGTACGCTTCATAGGACCACCCTCCTGAGATATCTTAGAGCAGATTGCTTAACCTTCGTGATGTTCTGCGAATACGTCTTTAGTCGTATCCGCCGTATTGTCAGACGCACTATCCGCCTTGAATCGTTGCCGCGCAATCGCCTCAAGTGATAGCCCCCTAGTCTCTTTAAGAAATGCGAAAGCAAGAACCGCGATAACGGCGTCGAAAATACCTGAAAAATAGTCAGCGTCTATCATATATTGTAGGATCTCTCTAGGTAATTTACCCCATAGTAAGAATGTTCCCCATCCCAGAGAAGAAATCATGTAAGGGGTTGTCAATGAGAAGATGAAGTTGAATAGCCACTGTGAGGCAACACCGACAGCCACACCAGGCTCTCGGATTCTTGCGGGGAAAATCCTTTAAAATATTAGCGAACCCGTTATGATCCTTAATAAGGAGTTGTTAAAGGTATATACTCACTCGGAAAGATATGGCCAAGGCATTGGTCCCCAGCTAAAGTTATATGCGATAACAAATAAATAAATGAGAGCGACGGTAGCAATGCCGGATGGAGCTATAGTATTTCCTCCTTCTTTCGGGGCCGGGAAGGACTTTACGACGGCGGCTGTAGTGATTTGACAAGCAGCCATGAAGGCGGCACCGCCAATTAAGACCTGACGTCGAGAAAGACGCCCCGAGAAGAATAAGACAAAGACGCCACAGGCTACAACTTTCACGGCTCCAAATATAGCCGTTAATAAGAGGCTTTGCTCGCCGTTACCAACAATGAGATTAAAGTATTGGGGTCCGAAGTAGGCAAAAGCCGTCGCTCCAGTCGCTTGCTGCGCTGTAAATATAGCGAAAGCGGCAAATATCCGCTTGAAGTTCTCTCCGTCTAGGAGTTCTATATTGAAGGTACATCAGCATTCGCTAGTCTCATAAGCCTGGGTATAAGTATAGAGTCCTACCTCGTATTTGAAAACCTTCGGTGGCAGTGGTCTCTGCAGTGACACCAGAGCGAATCTCTTCCATCTCATCAGCGGTCGCTTGAGAATCATCAGCTCGAATCCACTGGAGACTTTTCCAAGCCTCTTCATGTCTACCCTTTTTGGTAAGCCATCGTGTACTTTCAGGGACTGTCAACATCCCTAAGCCGAGGAAGACGGCCGGTGCAAGCTGAAGGCCAACTGGGATTTGCCATTGGGAGGAATTTGTTGACGAGATGCCTCTCGCTACACCATAGTCCACCCAATACGATACGAATATCCCCTATGAAAGGTAGGTAGGTATTAGACAGATGTTTTTTTGGTTTGTACGAAGGTACTTACAAACGTATAGAACCATTGAAAGAATGATCCGACCTGGCCACGCATCTCTTTCGGCATCATTTCGCTATTGAACATCGGCACAGCGACTGTCGCTGCGCCAAGTCCAAGCCCAGCGATCACTCTTGCAACGTAGAACGCCGCAAGTGAGTGCGTATTAATAGTCTGGATTACAACACCGATGCAGAATACGAACGAAGATATCATTAGCAATTTCTTCCGTCTAAATTTGTCGGTTAATGTCATATGGATAATAATGCCAAAAGACTATTGGTTAAAGAAAAATAACTAATAAAAGATATAAGATAACTATTTTAAGATTTATTAGATAAAAAATATTATAAAATTATATAATTATATATAAATAAAGTTAATATATCGATAAAAATTTAATTAAACTAAAAAATATATATTTTAAATTGTTTATAAATAAGTTAAAATTTTTTTTTAAAAAAAAAGGAAAAATTAAAAACTTTAAAACTTTAAAAAATTATTAATAATTTTAATTATATTTTAAACCTTTTATAACCTTGTATTAAAGATTATGGTAATGTTATAAATAATATATAATAATTATAAATAATATGTAAAGGTTTAAATTATTTAAAATATAATTATATATAATATAATCTTTATATAGTTAATTAATTATATAATAATTATAATTAATGCCATAATTTCTTATAATTATTATAATAATTATGTTATAATTATAATTATTTATTTTATATAATATATTTTTTAAATAAAAATAATATATTATATTTTTAAATTTATTAATATTATTAAAAATTATATATATAAGTAATAATTTATTTTGGAAATAGGTTAGGTAATAACCAATTTAATATATAATAAAAAAAATAAACTTAATAAATAAGTTTATATATATTATTTAAAATTTACGTTAATATTTTAATAATATATTAAATTATTTTTTTTATTATAATTATTATTTATATTACCGTAATAATAATTTTAAAATAGTTTAATAAAAAAAATTTATATAAATAAAAAATCTTTTTAATTTATTTTTTTAACTTTTTTTTTTAAACTTTTTTTTAACGCAATATAATTTTTTAAATTTAACCTTTTATTTTAATTATAATTTTATTTTTTTATAATTTTATTTATTAATATATTTATTTATTATATTTTATTGTAGTAAAGTTTAATAAATTTAAATTTTTAACGCCGTTAACGTTTGTTATATATATTTTTCCGGTTTTTATTTAAAACCAAATCTTTTTATTTTTCATATTTTTATTATTTTTTATTTAATTTTTAATTTAATTTCCAAAATTTTTATCTTATAAATAATTAATATAATAGTTATTTATAATAATTTTAATTTTAATATTTTATTAATATTAGATTTTATTTAATATAATAAAAAATATTATGTTAAAAGCGATTTTTATAAGGTTTATATTAGAAAATATTATACTGTTTTATTTATTTTAACCGTTTTAGTTAATTTATTAAATAAGTCATATTTTTTAATTTTGTATAATATATATAAGGTATAATTATTATATAATAATTATAATATTATTTTTTATATTTAATAATTATTTATATTATTAATTATATTTTATTAACTTTTTATTAAAATATTAATTTTTTATTTCGGTTAACGATTTTATTAAGTTTATAATTTTTATTTCTTGGCAATATATTAATTTAACATGTATTATTCTAAAAGATATATATTATTTTTGCTATTTTTATAATTTTTTTTTTATTTATAAATTAAATTTTAATTATTATAATTATATAGATAATTTAAATAAATATTATATTTATATTTATAATAATTATAATTGTAAATTTATATAAATTATTTTATTTTATTTTTATTTATAATATTAATTAATTTTATAATTTTTATTTAACTATTATTTAAACAATTATATTTATTTAAACTTATAAATAAAATTATATTTAAATAAAAATATATTAAATATATTTTTTTAATATAAGTTAATATTATGGATAAATTTAAAAAAAAAAGTTAAAAAAAAAGGTTAAGTAAATCTTAATAATGGATAGCTTTTATTTAATATTTTAAGAAATAATAAAAGATTTAATGGTTTAAAAGTATTTACGTGTTAGCAGGGAAATTATTGTAGCAGGTAAAAAGGTAATAACGTAAAATGCGTAAAATAAAAAAGATTTTTATAATGAGTTAAATAGGGTTTTTAATGTTAATAGTTGTAAAAACAACGGTGCGGTGGAAAAAAGTATTAGTGGTAAAATTAAAGATAATAGAAATTAGGTAAATCTTGGTTTAAGTAATTTTATTAAGGAAAATAATAATGGTATAAGTATAAATATAAAGTTTAAAAAAAAAGTAAAAATATTTAACGAAGGTATGGATAAAATAATTGGTTTAATAGTTAATTTTATAAATAATAATAACGGTTTTAAGGTTTAATATAATAATAATGTTAGTAATATTAAGAAAAAGTTATATAATAATATTTATAAATATAATTTTTTATTTTGGTTTTATATTTTATTTAGTTATTTTTATTTTATTATATAATTATAATTAAAATTTATTTATTTTTTATTTAATAAGTTAATTTAAATAATTGGATAATTTATTATTAATAATATTAATTATTTTTAATTTAATGGTTTTATAATAAAATTTAATTAATATTTAAATAATTATTTTAATAAATATTAATATAATTTTTTTATTATTTTTATAATTAATAATTTATAATATTAATATAAAATTAAAAATATAATAAAAAATTATTATAATATTTTTAATATTTTTATATTATTAATTAATAATAATATTATATTATAAATTTAAAAATGTTTTAAAATATTTAAATTATTATTTTATAAAATTTTTTATTAAATTATTAATTAATATTTAATTAATAAATAAATAAATTATATTAAATATATTTTTAATATATTCTTAATATAATTATATATTTTAAATATTAATATATTATAATTTTATATTAATTTATTTTTTTTTTCTAATTATTAATTATATTATTTATTAATTATTATTAAAAATTTTCCATTATTTACCTATATTTAACTTAATATTTTTAAATAAATATTAAAATATAATAATTTTTTTTACAACTTTTTCCATAATTATTAATTTAATTTTTATAATAAAAATTAATATAATTATTTATTATATTACCTTTTATATTATTAATTTATTAAATAAAAAAATAATATAATTATAAAAAAAACGTTTTATTATATTATTATTAATAAATAATATATTTTTAATTATAAATAATATTTTAAAACCTAAATCTTTACCTTTATATTTAATATAAAATTTTTATTTAATATATAAATATTTAATAATTTAATTAATTATTTTTAAATATTAAGGTTTTAAATTAATAAAATGATAAAAAAATTATAATATTATATAAACCATTTTTAAATAAATTATTATAATTATATATAATATTAAACTAATTTTTTCTTAATATTTTTTAATAACCTTTTTATTAATTATTTTATTATATTTAAATAATTTTATTATAATTATTAAAATTATTAAATTATATAATAAATTAATTAAATTATATTTTTAAGCCATTTTTTTAATATATATTTTGTAATTAAAAATAATTATTTTCTATTTATAATTATATATTATTTTAATATTTAAATATTAATTTATTAATTTTTACTTTTTTATTTCTTAAATATTTTTTATAAAACTAATTACTTTTTTAATTACTTTTTAATATACTTTATAATATATTATTAATATATTATTAATATAAATTAATATATATACTAATTTATTTAAAAAATAAAATAAATATAATTTTTTAATAAAAACCATTATTTTAATATTTATTAAAATCTTTAATATTTTATTATATTATAAAAAAAAAACGTTTTTTAATTTATATAACATTTGTTTTAATTATATACACTTATTTAATTATTTATATTTATTTAATAATTATATATATATAAATTTACCATTTTTATATAATATATAAATAAAAATATTTTTTACGTTATATTAAATAACTTTTAAATTAAACTTTACTATAATAGTTATTATAATTTTAAACGTTTTAATTATTAAAATAATTATATATATATTATCAAAAATATTTATTTTTTATAAATCTTTTTTTACTATTACTTTAAACTTATATATTATTAAAAAATTATTAACGTTAAATTTATAATTAAATATTTATTTAATTAATAATAATATTAACTTTATTTCATTTATATTAATAATTTTTTAAACATTTTTAATAATTATAATTTATATTTTACTGTTAATATTTTTCTTAAATTATTTGTTTAAAAAATAATATTTTAAATCTTTTTACCTTTTAAATAACAATTTAATTAATGCTAATTTATAGATAAAACTTTAATTATTTATACTTTATAATTTAAATACATTTTTTAATTATAATATAACTATAATAATAATATATATTATTTTATATTTACAATTTCTTTTATAAATAACTTTTTATTAATTAAATAAAAATATATTTAAAAAATCTTTAAACAACTTATCTTTAAATATAACTATTTTATTTTAATTATATTTTATAATAATTAAAACAATAATTAATAAAATTACACTTTCCATATTATCGTTTTTAAAAAGGTTTTTACCTTTTACCTATTAATTATATTTTATAAATTTTAACCATTTTTTTTTATTATATTTTTAATAAAATTTCTTAACCAATATATTTACCTTTTAATAAATTAATAAATTCAAAATTATTTTTATAAATAATTAATCTATAATAAATTCCAATTATTTACTTTTATTTCTTTTTAAAAAATTTTTATTAACGTTTTATAATATACTCCTTATATTATTAAATTATTACCTTAATTTAAATATTTTTTTAAATATTATAATTCTTTATTACCAATTTACTATATTTAAATCTTTTAATTTAAGAATTAATTTTAATTTTATTTAAATATAATATAAGCCGTTATTTATAACTTTTTTTTTAAATTAATTTTTTATTAGGTTTAACTTTTTTATTAACTTATTCCTTTTATCTTAAATTATATTAATTAAATAATTATAAATAAAAGGTTTATTATTTTATTAATTTAATTAATTTAATATATTTTATAAAATAACGTTTAAATTTTCTTATATTTTATTAATATATATTAATTTTTTTTTAAATATTTAAAATAATTATAATTTCTTTTTAAATTTATAAAATAATTTTTTATTAAAC